TATATATATATATATATATATATATATATATATATATATACATATGTATATTCTCAAGGTGAATAAAGCGAAATCTGCTGAGAATGCGAGGCTTGCAGCAAATAAAATTTTAATTAATTTTGCCGGTTGAGAAATTAAACGTTAACTGAGTATTTTTACACTAACGTCAATGAACGAAAGTGACCATTCAGCCACCTCTGTTGCGGAACTTCACAATCCGGTCGTTCGTGAAAACGTCGGAGCTGTCCACTCGAAATAAATGATCCTCAATGTCTGGGTGTAACCAACCATCTTTCCTGAAGTAAAATGACTACCAATCTTGCACATTGTTTCTGATGCACCAAATTCTGGACCTGATAGATTTTCCACAAGAACGAGCCAATGTTACTTGAAAACATAGACGGACTGGTTGTTTTGTTGGTGGAACTTCGTCTTAGCATAACCCACCAACCAACGCGATACTTTTATTATGGTAACATTCACGCCTACCTCCGAATGGCTTGAAAGTATTCCTCAGAGAATGATTAAAAGCCAAAACTTGAATGTCCTATGCGACAAAAACAAAGAGATTTCATAATAGAGGAGCTGTATGGCAGAATTTGACCTTGAAAAAGTGATGAATGGGTGTAAACGTGCACAATTGAGAGTATCCACTGCAAAATCGCAAATGTATGCCAAATTTGGCCCGGAAAATATTCAAAGGTCGAACCAGCACATTTTGGTTGTTACCTTTCAATTAGGTAACCGGCGGAGGTGAGAAGTGAATGGATGTGGGACTGAATGATTGGGTGTGTGTATGTGACTGAGCGAATAGCTAGGTAGAATCAGTTTGAATGCAAAGGCCTCGTGAATGCACCCATCAGACTTCGCACGGGTGTTGATTATAGTCTCTACCAGTCTCAGCAGCTGCTTATTTCGGGGTTTTGTGAGTTCATAAAAATCCACATTTTGATCTATGTTCTGCATTCAACAAGTGACGTGCAGTTGCACTGTGCGGAATCCCTTCGTGCCTCGAAGCATCAAGTCATTCGGAATGTGTCCGTTGAATCTTGTCGGCAATGAACTTGATGCAATCCATGGTTAGAATAACATTGCCCAATGTAATTGAAGGTGAGTAAAGAATCGAATCTATCCCGATTTAATCGGGTTAATGCAGAACTGGCTCTTTGGAGAATAACTCGTTTGACAGGTAAAGGATGCTTAACTTTGAGACCTTAAATGAGAGATAAGTAATTTGAATTGATAGAAGAGTAAACTTGGCTACTATTGGCCAGACAAAATTGATTAACCTTAAAGCAATAGTTCAACAGTCAACCATTTTCCACTCAGTACCCCATCAAACAAACATGAAGACAGAGAAACCGTGCGCTCTGGAAGAGAGATCTTTTTAATTCGTTCAGGTTGCGTAAACGACGGAAGCTTGGAAAGTGCAATGGAGAGATGATGCTCCCGAAATGTCAACTAATGTTGCGTGCCGAATGCAAAGGAGCAATGAACCACTGTTTCGTCCTTGACTGGACTCATCAGCAGGGTGTGATAATCTTAACATCCATGCGGAACAGTTAACGACCAACGCTGTTTATTGGCCTTTATACAGTTATAGCTATCATGTATAGAATACCAAAGTGTAAGGAATACATGTTTTTCGAAATAAAAAAATATACTTTCCCTGTCTAAATTCTCTCGCATATAAAAACGAATCCATTTAAAGAGGGGATTGTTGAAGCATTGTTCGATGTGATAATTATTCTCAAGAAAATACTGTGTGAAACTAAGAATACATATTTGAGAATACTTAACACGCGACGTATGCGTCATACATGATTCTGGATGAGTTTAGTTTCAAACTTGTGCATTCTCATACATAAACAGGAAGCACAAATACGGTGTACCACAGTCAAATGGTGACTATTCGCTGTTCGATAGATCTGACCATGAAGTGCTAAGCTTGGAGTGGAGAAGAGAGTGCATTTAATGCAGGTGCTGATCTGGGTAACTGATACTTGGTCATGCATGATGTTTTTAATAAGACGTAATAGAGGAACTGCTTGCGCAGTTTGCGTAAAGCAGGCTTCAACAGATAAAGGTTATTGGCTTTGACTAAAATATTATAGAAAACGAGCCTTGATTCGTCACCTGGGATTCTGCTGAGGATTTTAAAACCTGAGTCGAGATTCCCGTTTTCTTAAGGTGAACGTCAAACACCTTTTATACCTCCGTATCTAGGTGACTCCACTGTTTACTGTTTTGAATTTCAATCTACGAAAGTAGTATAGAAACGGTACTAAAACAATCGTGAATGAAATCGAAGACCACAGTTTCTGGTTATCACTTTGCCTAATACTTGATGCTTTCTCCCCACTCCAGTGTCTTTCCTCTTATCTGGACAATTATTTTCGCGCCCTGAGTGAGATGGAGGTCGCGGAACCGACGACAGAACAGGATGATGAAAACCAGCCAGTGATGACAGATCCCATCGAAACGGATCTGACCACACCTCGGCCTGGGCTTGTTAGAAATGCGGATCCCGATCACCTAGACCAGAATCGATTTTTCTCTCAAGCAACACTCAGTAAGTGAATGAACCACACACACTGCTCTCGAGAATAGAGAACCCATTCCGCATGGATAAACATATTTGCATCCGGGATTACAAAGGAATATTCAACTTGTGCTATGATAATACTAAACGCATATCCCATGTCATCTCTGTGTTCGAATTCATTAGCTGTCCCCGACTGTGGCGCCCAGACATAATATGGTTTCAACTGAAAGTCATTCTTGATTATTTTTGTGATCTAACTGTCTTGCCTGGGTAAAGGAAGTGTGTCCTGCGTCAAACCCAACAAAAAACTGACATCCGGTAGCCATTAAAGAAGGTTGTTCAAATCACTTCTGTCCCTCACCCTCTCTCCCGCCCATCTTCACCCCCTTCCCCCTACACACAGAGTTCATCTCAGTGACGTTGGAACAAACCCACTTTCTCTCCTCAGCTGTCTCTATTGACCTACTTTTATCCTGCGCACTCTATGTTGACCAGAGCCCTGCCCATCCGGAGACGAGAGATCCATTTCATTTCGTCATTTTATTTGCCTGACAATCAGACTAATTTAAAGCTGACCTGGACAAGTTTTATGATCAGACTATTGTCTAGAACAGTTTCATTCAGCGCCAAGAATCCGGGTGGCCATGTGCCGAGACTGGGTTAATTCAAACTACCCGATTCAGGAAAAACGCAGAGCCACCTCGTCACTGTAACTCAGAACTTCAGATGAACCTGCAACAATTTTCATCTTTTGGCCTTTTTTCTTTCGTCTCTATCATCAAACCAGAACTAATCCATTTCGTAGCCCCCTTCGAATAGTATAATTGCCAATATTTAAACTACATGTTACTAGTTTTACTTTGCAACATGAAGTTTCCCCTGGTGTAAACTTGTTTGTGAGCACAATATTTCTCTGTTTAGTCAATGACTGTTTTGCCAGAGAATCAGATTGTTTAATCACGATGCACATTTTATCACAGGCACATCTGCAACAGAATGACGGTTGCTCAAATTTCATTTTTTTAGCACAGTTGATGAATGGGGTTGTCATATAATCCCATTGATCGCCAGCATCGATGGGATGGGAATCCATATTTGGATATGACTAAATCCCCTGTAGGTTGTATATTCTACTAACTGAGTCACATTAATTTCTGATATTTTCCTATTTGATTACTAACGCAATTAAATGTATGCCACTTGTTTTTTCCTTATGTCTTCGTATTGTGTGGGTAGGTGCGCAACCCGCACATACAAACCAGTTCTTTGGATTGCATAGCTGTTTCGTGTACCTGTTGTCTTGTGTATTGCAGCTGAAAATCAAACACATTACGAGAGTGTACTTCGTGAACAACTTGGTAATCAGTTGGATCAGATCCCCGCGGAGATGGAACCGGGAAAGGAGTTCACATTCCGCGTCACGGTGCTGCAATTCCTCGGAGTGCAGTCCGGATTCACTGACGTGTTTTGCCAGTATCAGTGAGTATCATGCAGCTAATTTCCATTTGCACTTCCGTCATCTAACGTAGAGACAGTCGGCAAAACTATCATAGAAATAGTGGACCTCGAGTGTATCAGGCTTACCTAGAATTCATTTTGCACGGTTGACTGTGGAGGCCCAGGGTCGCTGAAGCCGTGTTTAATAAATCCCATGTCGACAGCAGGTGAGGTTTCGGAGGATTAGGTGCCGGTAATCCGCAGATGACTCCTCCGGTTTCACTCACGTCTACCTTCAGCTGTCTTCAACCGGAGCATGAATGCCTACATATAACTGAGCTAACGAGACCCATTCCGAATGGATTTTGCGAGAGCACATAGCAGTTTGCCTACATATTATGAAAACACGTTTCTTTTAAGGGACAAAGTATTTAAGAGTGGGGTAAATTCAATCGATCAGGGAAGATATAAATATAAAAACTCTAAACCATAATGAAAAATACAAAACATTGCAGACAGTTTGTTTTGTGATCACAGATAGCAGGAGGAGCTAAATGTGAAAACACAGTGAGGACAGAATGATTGGTCATGTCTTGCATCATCGTGTGATTCAATAGATAAAGCCATTTTATTCCAAGCTTACGATTAGGACTTCGAGTAAGAGAGTGGTGTGTAGTCGTATTCAAGACGATGGAATGAGATCAATTAAACGCGGAATGACATTGTACCCGACGAACACGAGAAAGTCTAGATATTATTGTACATCAAATCTAGCGGGTGAAGTTCTGAAAATCTAGGGGAGTTCGCAACCGGTTATCGTAGTTGTTAAGCACACCACAAATGCCTCAAAAAGAAGCGTTCATCTATTTAATGAGTTTATTGAACTGAGTGTGGAAAAACTGTCGGTCAGAACCTTAAATAGTTAAGAGGAAGCAACATTTAATTTATCGATAATTGTTTAAATGCGAAAACGAACTGGCTAACAGCCCATTTTCGATGTTTTACAATCATGACAATACAACACGTCACAAGTGAGACTGATTTCAGATAGAGGTTTCCGAAGAAAACGAAAAGTAACTCGAATGTTGAAACCTTTGAATCATAATTGCTTCTCAGCTTGAATGTCGGTCTCGTTAAGCGTCAACTATCGTTTGTTTGGGTGCTTCAGAACGGGTCACATGTAGGCAGTCCGGCCATGGAAGCTTAAGTGCTTGCATAAGTTGCTTCTTGACACACAGAGTGCAGCTGTGAAGACGAATGCTGACTGCGCCCTCTGTGGTCAGAATACGAATTCACACGCGACAATGTCGTCTAATTTTAGCTATCTACGCATTGGAACATGTCGGTCACGGTTATTGAGTGATTAGAATCGACAAGGTGCAAAACACCGTACTTGAGTTGGACTTTACTGCTCCGCTTCTCACCTATGGAGGGTGGTATTGGTGAATACGTTCGGAGTGACGCCGAGTTGTACAGCCAAAGACTTTCCTCCTCGGGAGCAAGTCAACCAGTAATTACAGAAATATACAGCGGATTAAGATATTTTATGCAATCCGAAATTCATCAACATTTGTGATGATCCGGTTAGCTTTTTTAAAGAAATTCATTATGAAGTTTTTCTTTGTACTGAGCGGTACAATCATTGGGAAACGCAGATACTGTCCATTTCACGTCATCTTCCCATGCATTGACCGTCTAATCGACCAGCCATCACATATAGTTTGCAAGTTGTCACACTACTTCCACTTCCACGGCCGACCTGTCTACAAGTGATCCGTCCTTAAACAACCGGACAAGTAATAACTGACCGTTAAAGAAACTCATATTGAAAGTTATGGGCAATAGTGCTTTAAACTTTTGAACACTTGAGGTAGTCTTCCGTTTTCTAGGGAAGCTCCTACGTGAAATCAGCTTCGTATATATATTCCTATCCAGTGGAACAGCTGTACAGTTGTTTTGATGCATCTTAGGAATATTCTTCGCTTGTGTTTACGGACACCAATTTTTGTGACGTATTGTGTTTTAAAAATGTTTTCCTCCTTGTCCGCTCTCTGGTGAAGAACCAAACGAACACAGACCCCTGTTGTCAACGCTTAACAATAGCCAGAAAGCGATGACAATGAAGGGAATTATAAGAGACTAAGTTTGTTTTTGTATGCTCTATTCCTCTCTGGACCCTCCCAGACCGAGCATATGACCTTTTCTTTCTTAATTTTATGTCATTGTTATACTATTGTTGAACAGGGCATAGTAAAAGCACTTTTCTGATGTAGGGCAGTGAAGAAACGAAGGTGAGACCAGGTGAACCCCACTAAAGGGAAATGCGAAGGGGCGGGGGTGGAATTAGAAATTACATGACCGCCAGAGAAGTGGTGACCGGCACCATTCAATCGTTGCAGCCGTGGGGTGGTTTAGTGGTCCAACTTTGTTTGGGTGACATATCTTTAGTAATTCTTCTGAATACGATTTATTACTGCAAAAAGTATTGTACATTTTCATCCCTTTATACCCTGGTTTCAACCCGCTTGCTCGCTGTCAGCTTCCAGCATCGACCGGATGAAATCTATTGCACGGAGCCGATAGATAACCCCCAGAACGGTGAACCGATTGGCGTATATCACACGCAAATTGTAAGTGCATCATGCTTAACATCTGCGGAATATAGTTTTGTGTTCCTGTCGCGAACTCTAAAATTCAGTGGATTTCACTCGATGTACAGAAAGGAATTGTTGAACTTCTCAATGGATCAAACTATAGTAAAACAGAAAGGAAAAGCCCAAGAAGACCTACTCATGCAGGGTAGCAATTAGTGCGTGGTCAGAGCGGATTACGTCGGAAGACAGCACTTGGAATGAAAAAAGTAGCTAATCAATTAAATTTTCGTATCCGTTCATAACTTGTTCACCAGAAAAACTCATTACATTTGTATGTGTACTCAAGCAGTTCATCGAATCTCGCCCTGTAAATGAATCTGTAAGATTTGGTCAACTGAATTTATTAAGTTATGAATGAAGGTGTTTTGTATTTCCAAATCGGATGTGTAGATGTGTTTTCGCATCAAGCAATCTCCAAAAAGGAGTGTTTGCATTCACAGAGTTGAGCTATGGCTACGGCACAAGGTGGGTCACATGCGATACGAAGCGTTTTAGCCTGACTCGAGGCCAACGGTGTACTCACTCCTGCAAAGGGGTGAACGATTCCTGGAAATGAAAACGTTTGCTAGAAAGACACTAAACTAGGTACTTGAGTGTGGAATATTTTCCTTAAAATTGGCTTATACTGATTGGGGTGGGGGTGTGTGTGGAGGAATTTGATGAGTAACAAAGTAGAGGGTGTCATAGAAGACGAAGCTACATACCCAAAATGAGGACCGGAAACTGGCATGTATGTAAGTGGAGCACGCAAAGCTATATAGATGCTGGATGATTTATACGACAAGCATGGAATAATGAAACGTCAACCAAGTAGTTCACTAATGGTAATCAGTTCTTAGCTACGCTTTTGTTTATTCTTATTTCCATTCATTATTAGATGCAAAAGGTTTCCTATTTTTTCATAATTTCATTTGTCAATGAAGGTGAATTTACGTCAAACTCTGAGTTCACCGACCGAGAAAATGCTCGACCCTAAGCCACCATTGTTGATGCGATACGTCCCAGTAGAATGATCTTCATTTGAGCCTAAAACATTCAACTCCCGGGTGAATGATAAACTAATTGAGCAATAAAAAATTCGTTTGCTTTATCTCAACTTAGTTCAATGTTTGGTAATGCAATTATTGTCAAACAATGCCCTTTGCCGGTCAGTTTGGTTCAGTTAACCCGCAGTCCGAATGCATCTTCAACAACACACTCAGTGAGTGAAACGATGCTCTACACCAAACGAACGCTTACCGTATATTGCGTAGAATTCACACGAAATCACCCAGCAAAGGAAACTAGACAGTTTGGTGACAAGTTATCGGTTTCAAAACCCCGTTCTTCGGGGGGTGGGACTTTCAAAGTGCATCATTTAGGCGGGAACGTAATAGCTATTTACCGAGCGCTTCCCCAAACATTTACCTTGTTACAAAGGATAGTTGTGCGTATCTCCCCTTTTATCCCCTTGTACACGAGAACCGCCCCAAGGTCTTGGTGTCATTCAGCCCAAGTTAGGACGCGGTGTGTAAGCATTAATTTCATTTGGGAATGTGCTTTCCGTTATTCCGGTCGACCGACGTTCCGCTTTATGAAAGTAAATCAAGTTCAATGCACACAGGGACTTCCCCATGCTCACTGACCGAGGACTAAGTGGGTTTATATTGTCAGTGCACGTAAATTGAACGGTAAACCGTCATGGTCTTAGACCACTAAATGCTGATCTTCGGTGGAATGCAAGTTCTCCAAAAAGATTTTCTTGCTTTCTTGGGTCATATCCCTTTTTCCCACTCCCGTCGACTGTTATCGGGGTCGAAAACCAATTTGTTCCGGCGGACAGAGAACAAATGAGAATCCATGGTAGCAACAAAAATAGCAGTAGAAACTGCCTTTCTGAGTAAATGCTGGCTATCGTCGCAAATCTCAGCACGAAACGTTATCAATGATTTGACTCCTGCACTCAAAAATGCAACTAGCGGGAACATTTCACAACGTAACTAGCTTGGGGATCAGTCGATTTGTTCAAATACTACAAAGTGAAAAAACAGTAGAGTTAATAACACATCTACGAAGGGAAGCTGTCCGTTTTTCTCTAATTCACAAGTGAACAGAATAGCCGGATGACATTTTTTGAGTTCTTCGAAATGCTGTGCGGGAATGATGTGATATTCAGTGCCTCGTCTCGCGGGCACGAACAATATGCTCTGAAATCACGTTCGCAGTTGAGCATACTAAGATTCTCAGGGAATGATGAATCAAAAGAAACCTAGAAGAAAGACTGAAACACGAGTGCTTTCAAGAAGCTCCGAGGAAGAAGCTGTTTATTAACCTGCCATTCAAAAGAGACGACCTGTCTGATCTGATTAGAAGACTTTTGATACGTACTGTGAGATGAACCTTTCAAGC